GGGAGATGATGGAATGGTTCCAATCAACATATAGATGACCATAGGCACAGGTCTGCATAAAACCAATAATTTGCATGAAGATGCTATTCTTACATGAAGTCAGAATATTTCTCACAATGAGAATAATGAAGCCAGTTGGGCAGCTAGGGAAAGCTCAAGCTGTTTTATTTAATGTAACAAAGAGATACAGCTGTGAACTATGGAATGGACCCAAGTCCTATAGCCTAATTTTCTTCCCCTCTTTTGTTTGAACCATTTCTTCTCTTAAATTTACTTCTTATCCTGTTTATGTTACACTTTTGTAATTACTGCCTTCTTTTTTTTCGTTTCTCTCTTTTCTTAGGAGCTCTTCTCTGTTTTAGCTACTTCCAGAAACTAAGCAACAGAACCAATGGCTCCTAAAGTCCTTTGCTGGTTCTGATTCTGTATGTCATAAGGGCAGCGCAGTCACTCTTCACTAAAGACTGAATCACCGCCACCAAGTCCTTTAGAATTTACAGCTGAAGTATTAAGAGTCAGCTGGTTTTTGCATTATAATTCTGCAAGTTATGCTTTCTCATTAAATTCAAATTTTCAAATAAATAAATTTGAATCTCAATTAATGACATTGCAAATCCCAAATATTTTTTAGAGTATCTAAGAAATCCTATTTTCAGAAGTGTGCAGATTTTATCACAGTACATGTAGCTTAACTGCATCAAGAATGAGGCTGACTTCAATGAGTTTGGGCAACTCTAGCTTGTGATCACAAAACACTCAACTAGAATCAACACCAGGCTATCAGATATCTGTATTCCCAAATAGGAGCATCAATGAACTCTCTTCTGGCCTATCCTTTGAAGGGAGCTGCCTTCATTTTGTAACCTATTTTTACCTTCTAATATGGAGACAGGGTATATAGCACAATGGTTGAGGCATTAGACTTAGTTCAGAAAGATCAGGTTCAAACTCTTCTCAAATAACAAAAGTTAATTGGGTGACATGGGGCAGCTACTAGCTTTCAACCTAGCTATACAACAGAACTGTTATAGGAAGATCTGGAAGAACTGGAAGAGGTAACCATATTTACATAACTTTGAGATCCTGGGATAAAGGCAGAATTACAAACCTAACAAATAAATAAAAACATGATTATGCTAGTCCTGGTGGATATTCCTGAAGTGGAAAAACAGGCAAAAAGTAGGGGGGGAAAGAGTTCAAAAATAACAATTGAAATAGCAAATATGAGTAAAAAGTGAATGTAGAAGTAATTCTAAGTTGGTACTTAAAATTCAAAATATTTGGGCTTTTTTGAAAAACCATTCAAATAACTTTAATAACTGTTAAAAGTGTTCCTAGTGTCCAAAGGGACCGTATTTTCTTCATTTCATTGAATCAATTAAACTTTTGTTATCGGATACATTAATCTGAATTTAAATTAATGAATGACGTCTGAACCACTTAAAGAATTCATGAACGATTGTGCTAAGAGTTACCATATCTTCTTTTCATTTCCAATTCCTAGCTAAAAGTTCTGCAGTGAAAATCATGATTAAGAGAAAAAAAAATATATTGCAGGGTACACATCTCACTCCCTCAATTTTTGAAGATTGGTAAAACCAACAATATGGGGATTCTCTCCACTCCCTGCCAGCTCCTCGGTGTCTTTTATGATCGTTCTCATTCTACTAGTTCTGTACAATAGGATTCCGCAGCCAATGCCAAGCTGAACTATTTAAAAGGCTGATGTAAGCAGCCCTGATTGCTCTGCATACTCAGCCAAGCAATGGTCCGCAAACAAAGCTTGGCTTGTAACAATGCAAAGCTAAGTCAAATTTTCAGACAGGAGACCCAAGTGCTCTCACAGAGATACTTTGAGATCAGGGAAGCTACTCAAGAAGTAAGATGCTACATGCTGTGAATAAGGACCACAAAATCTGGCCTTCCAGAATAATAAACACTTCATTCAAGGATCCCAGAGCATTTACAAACACTGGTTCATTCTGGTGGAGAGCTTATTCTAAACTCACCACTTTAGAATAAACCCAGACATAATGTGTTAACTGTTTTTCCCAACAATACCAACAAAGGGTTATTTGTGTTTTTTGGGAGAATTAAAATAATTCCTCAAATCATATGAAAACAGGAAAAATTTCAATTTTTGCTGTCAAGCTGTATTTTTTTTAAAAAAATAATATACATAGAATTCAACTGAAAATCTGATAATGCCTCAATTATTTAAAAGCAAAGGGGGAAAAAAATCAAAGCAGGAAAGGAAAAAGCCTTTCTTGACTAATACTAATAATATGGGTCAAAATGTCAGTCAACGTACGATTAAAAGGAAAACAAAAAGAAGTGTCTCTTTTCTCCTGCAGTACAATGGTACTGGAATATAAATTACCAACGAAACTGAAATAATACTTCAAAGCCCACAGGGAAAGGAGCACAGGATTTGGGAATAACTTCTTACGGTAGGATGAAACCACGAAAATGATGCTAACCCACAAACTTTGGGACACTTGAGTGAATAGTTTCAAACTAGCATGACCTGGGGCCAAGAGATCTATAGCCTGTAACCCCAAGATCTGCTTTGTTTTGCTGGGGCAGCTGCAGTTATCAACAGATGTTTCAACAATAAATAATTGGTATCATCCCAGAAATGGTTCATCTACCTGGGGTGAGAATATAATGTGTGCAAACATGGCTTTGCTATTACAGCCACATTAATCTCCCATCTATCCAGGTTTCTCAGGGAGTTTTACTGCAGGTGTTTTTCCTAGGAGGGAGCAGACAAATGCTTTTGAGTCTAGGGGCTTTGTGGGCATTGTCAAAGGGTCAGCCTCTACCATAAATTTCTGTCTAAGGCCACACACCAGAAAGGGAAAAAAAAGTTAAAAAGAAAGAAAAAGAAAAAGAAAAAAAGGAGCAGGGGGGTAGAGGAGAGAGGTAGAAAATAGCCAAAACAAATTCAGAATCACAATAAAACTCCACTTAGTGCCAGGAATTTGTAAAACAGCAACTGAGCCCTCCTCCTCTGTCAAGGCGTGTAAGTTACATCACACAAATTAAACCAACTTGCTTATGGTGGTGGAGAAGAATGACTTGGTACTGTTTCAATAGAACTTTAAATATTACAGCTCTCAGGCAAGCACTGCATGATGTCAACGTTCAGTATTCTATTTGAACCCACTTGGATTCTTACATTTAACACATTTTGTTTGGTTAATGGCTCACAATCCCTTGGATAAAGCTTGTAAATACATATCCATGCAAATACTTTAGCTCAGGGGTGTCAAATTGCCGGCCTGCGGGCCGGACGCATCATCCCAAAACCACACCCACCCCATTGCCGGCAATAGAGAAAAAACTCCGATACATCACGCGACGTCATGTGACGTCGCGAGTTTGACATGCCTGCTTTAGCTGAATACAGCAGGAAGTGGGCAACTTTTTTAGCAGAAGATGCTGCCAATAGGAAGTTGGGTCCCTTGGATGGGAAGGGTCCAAATAAAAGTTTTTGGAATCCAACAGGAGCATGCCAAATAGGAATATCTTATCTCTATGCATTTGTCTAAAATGTAGTAAAGGCACAAATGAGCAAAAAGTGGAATTGTTTCATTAGGGAATTGTCCCAGACGATTTGTGGTACCTGATGAATTTTGGATATTAGGAATGTTCAAGAGATTCAAATTCAAAGGAAAAGCATCATTTGGACCCTGAGTGGGTGTATATGAAACATTTTCTGGGACATAAAGGAAATGCTTCTTTGCTTGGGCTTGTGTGGCTGCTGTTGTTCTATTACAGGAAAAGATGTCTAGTTAAGGGTCCTAACAGGTGCTACATTGCACATGCACAGAACTTTAAGCCACATTTTTGCCCTTTGAATAGATTTGATTTCATTCTTCAGCATGAAATATTTCCTCTATAAGAGGAGGCTTAATTAATCTGTTGGAGCTAACAGTTTGGGTAAGGTGGAGGAAATAGGAGATAGCTACTTTCATGGGATATCTTAGTCTGCCTTCTTTTGTCGGCATCCTAAAATCTGATCCTCAAACCCAATGATAAAATAACCCAAAAGCATACTGGGATTAAAATAATAATAATAATAATAATAATAATAATAATAATAATAATAATAATAATAATAATAATAATAATAATAATAATAAAAAAACTAGGAAATAATATACAAATTTGCTTCCCCAATTACTCAGAATCAGCTACCCATCTCCTAGTAGCTTTGAGAAGAAAACCTCTAAAATGTTTTCAAATGGAAATACCCTTTTCAAAATTATAATCATAATGTAACAAATAAAACCAGTTTGCTGACCCTTATTCCAACAGAGATCTAGGCAAGCCCACTAATGTTAATCTTTATCTAATAGATAAAATTTAGAATGAATTTTTTCACCTCAAGGGAAAAAATAGCAGAAATGTTTTAATCACTGCCATAAGTAACTATCATGGAATTATTATTTCAGAAGAGATTTATCTACTTGCTACAGGTATTTGCTTTGATAACTAGAATCATAATGACACATATTTGATTTTTTAAATAATTTTATGCTCACCTTCATGGGGCCAAATAAGGCAATCTGTTCTTTATCAAACTAACAGATAAAATGTTAGATTTCTGTTTTTCATTTGCACACTCCAAAGTACATTTGATGCCCCTGAGTGAGTGGCTTCTTTCATCTCTTCACTGCAGGAAGTCCCCTTGTGCATGAACCCTGTGCTTACATGAAAATGCATACTAAACTACAGATCAGGTTACATATCTTGCAATATGTGAACAAAATCAAATCACTGACCCCATGTCTTCTGACGACAACAAGAATCAATTTAACCATTGACTTGAATAGAAGTAGGCTAGCAACTGTCATGGGGTAGAAGCAACAGTGAAAAATGGCGGTGTATGTGTGGGGGTCACCGGTGTAACAAGGAACCTATACCATCTGTTGGGTCACTGTAAATTTAAGAGCTAATGCAGGTTTCAAGGACAGGTGTCTTTGGTGTCATACCAGTAACTCATGCAGCCTTGCATTGATCATATCTTGCAAATTTGTTTTGTCTTCAAGGTCTATGGCTTGTTTGTATTGCCACCTTTCTGGCACAAAGGGCCACTTCATTTCCTTGGCCTCTTCGATGAGGGTCCTCAAATCAGCAGGGAGTGAAGCTGAAAGGGTCAAAGGGCAGGTAAGTGAGTCAGCCACAAAGGTTACAAGGTGATACCTTTCTGAAAGCATTCCCTTCCCCAGATTGCCTCTAAGGAACTACAAGCTGCCACTTCTTCCAGCAACAGACCAACAGGGAGAGGGGCTACCTGTCATCAGGTGACCTCTCATCCTTTGCCTGCAGCTAAACTGGAGCTGTCTGCCATTAAAGAAAGAAATTTAGCAGGAAGAGAAAGACCAGATTGTTTCATGGGTATCAGGACAGAGCATAAGTTGGAAAGATATAATATGTTCATAGAAAACTCATGAATTTGGATATAAAGGGTTAAATCAACAAATGCAAGGCTTGATTGTTCACTTTTTCAATATTACGCACACTAAATAAATATAGGCCATTTCATTATTATCTGATAGATTTATACCCTTCAGAAGTTCAAGGTAGCTTATATAGATCTCTATTCATTTTAACCTTGCAAAACAATTCTGTGAGGTATGTTGGGCTGATTCAAAGTCACCCAGTGTGTTTCTAAGGCTGAAAGTCTTTGTCCAACTTCTTGAACCATTATGCCACACTGATTCTCAACAAAACTGTTAACTATGTTTGACATTTTGCATCCCAAACTAAGAACTCAGACAAGTATCATAATGAATTGGATCCAGGTTTGAATACTCTTGTTCTATAAATGGGGTTAGTGCAATGATTTTATTTTCTATCCTGCTAAAAAGTTGTTTAGAAGAGAGTGGGAGATATTAGGAAAACTGAAAAATTACCATTTCAGCCCAATTATCTAATGAATCCAGGTTCTCTTGGTGAAAAGCAGCTTTTCATGAGACACTATTCTGATATTAAATTAGGGTAAGAGATAAATCTGCAACTATTATATGCGATTGTTAACTAGAATCTCAAAGAAAGCTAGTGATGTGTAGTAGTAAAGTAGAAAATCCAGCTTCAGGTCCATCCTCAACCATGATGTTACTTCTTAATCAATGAATCAGTTTTTTAAAACTTCACTAGAATTATTGATCAGCTTATGCATTGGGAATATTTGAAAAGTGTATGAAAATATTATAGAAAAGGAACTAACATGGGAGATAAGAAAGATAGTGCTGCTGCAAGGCAAGACAAAGCAAAAATATATTTATGAAAAATATTCATAATTTTATTTACCAGTAATGAGCATTTGCATTTTATTTCAACAATCAGTGCTCAAGGTGATTTGGATGTTAATAATTTCAAGAATTATTTAATGGCTTAGGGACTTACAAACTGGAAAGATTTCTTTCCAAATCATCTTTTTCTCTCTTCTCCCTTTCATCTCCCAAATTCTGCCTCCTCTGAGCATCATAAAATATAATGATAATGGCTACTTGTTTTGAATTCACGAACCACCATAATATGCTGCACCATTCCTGTTATAAGCATGATGCATGCTTTATGAATTAGCTGCCAAAAATGCATGTTATAGCTTTGTGATGTAAGCTTCGCTTCTTAACTACCTCTGTGTGAAGTTTGTAATGCAAGTACTAAATGGAAAGACTTGCATTGTGATGTCATAATGCATGTTTTATTACCAGGGATAGAAATGGACACCTACAAATTTTAAATTAATCATACAGAAAATCACATTAGGCCATGACCCAACTAATTGCATTTTAAGTCTAGTTTTTCTACAATTTCAACCACTGAAGAATCTAAAGCAATAATCTCTGTCACACATTGTGACATTTATCAATATGCCCTATCTCACTGGTTCAGACAGATTTTTACCCTTATCTCAGCTGAGGATAATCGATCCTAGGAACTCAAGAGTCTCAGATCCTTCACTTCCTGAAGCAGGTTTCACCTGGAGGGCCCTCTCTAATGAGGTGATTATAAGGCATTGATGTAGCATATCTGGAACTAAAGCGATTGTTCACCAAGCTTTGCAGCATTTCACAGGGGAGGAAGCAAAGAAGAAGCCACCTGATTAGAAGCTGCACAGCCCATCTGAAGAGAAGTAATAAAGCTGAGATGAAATAGTGACAAGGAAGCAAAAGTACCCCTTACGGAATCAAAAGACTTATGCCTGCTAAACTATATTCTTAAATGAATGTGCACCGTTAAGGAACTATTGTATAATCAAAGCTGAACATCAGCAATTCACAAACTGTAGTTCAAGAGGCTGTCTACACTCCCCAAGGGATGTAGTCCATAGCATTTCAATAAATAGTCACCAAAGGAAAAAAATATTAGATACAGGTAGTCCTCGACTTACAACTATCATTTAGTGACTGTTCAAAGTTACAATGGCATTGAAAAAAGGGGCTTACAACTGGTTCTTGCACTTATGACTGTTGAAGCATCCCTATGATCATGTGATTAAAAAGGATAGGCATTTATGACAGTACTGACATCCTGGGATTCTTTGATTGCCATTTGCAACCTTCCCAGCTGGTTTGCAATAAGCAAAGTCAATGGGCGAGACTACATTTGCTTAAGTGCAGCGATTCATTTAACAACCATGGTAAAAAAAGAGTGTAAAATTCTGCATGATTTGCTTAATGACTGCCTTGCTTAGCAATGGAGATTCTAGTTACAAGTCAAGGACTACCTGTAAGGAGGAGTCATCATATTAAAATAATGTATTGTGTAAATTAAATGATCATGGATGAGTTATTACAAAATAGCAAGCACTACTAATGCCTTAGACTAGGTGGAGAGAAATCTCTGATCTGTGTGCCAGAAAAGATTGTTACAAAACCTGTTACAAGCAGAAAAACTATGGTACCGATAGTGATTGTTTGGAGACTTTTAATGAATAAGAAAGCAAACATAATTCTGATTTCTTGTTTGATATTAAATAACTTAAACAAACAGTTATTCTTCTAAAGGGTATGATGGCAGGGAATATGGTAGAAAACTTGGATGACTACTTTGTAATTCAATACATTGTTAGTCATTTGAAATTATGCATAGACTTTGCAAAGCCTTGCAAGTATCAATCGTTTTCCTGCCTTAGTTTCATTGATTTCAAATAGACTTACATTTGATCATGAGTGCATAAATTTACACTGTAAAATAATTTAATGTTTCTTTTAACATATTGGATAGCTTTCTGGAATAATATATTCCAAAAGACTAAAAATGCTATCTTTCTTTAGAAAGGGAAGAGCAATAGAATTTTGTTGTATTTTTATGATTCATAAACTGACTGTATCATAACCTCTCCTAGGGAAGGTCTTGCTTCATCATATGGCACACTATATTAATTTTCTAATATAAACAGAAATTGTTTTATATATATAGATAGATATTAAAAATATATATTATATATATTTAGCATTCATGAGCCTTTGTTCAAAGTATCAAAATACCAGATAAGTTTCTTCCATAAAAGCATCTTGCTCTACTTTATTTTCAACAATGACCCATATAATGAAAAAGCAATTAAAGAATTCCAAAATAGGGAAATTTGTCAAATACGTTTGTAACAGAATGATTTTCAGCAAATGGAAAGAAAGTAACAGGCAGTATTCAAGAGTTTCATCATTATTATTTTCAATAATTTAAATGTATGTGTACTACCAATCTTTGGGAGTATTGTTTTTGTCAAGTGAAAACTGCTCCTGACAACCTATGTTTACTGAAGCTTGAAATGGAAACTGACAGCAATTCAATGGTATAATGTGGCCTTCTACTCTGCCTGCCTCTATACCCACATCCTGCTTGGGTTCTAGATGCTTTGACTGCTAGAATGAATGGAGCACATTGGTGATCATACAAGCATGGGTGGTCAGCCGTCTTGTATCTGATACTTAACATAATGATCTCACCTCCGAAGAGTTGCTTCTTGCTTTCCTTGGGCTGGTCTTCCATAATAAGTGAGGGCTGCTCCAGCATTTGCTTGCATTCTTGCAAAAGACAGCTCACCATTTTCTGATTATTCATGTTGCACACTCCTGCACTGTTGGAATCAAGAGGAGCGGGTGTTCTGGTTGCACAGTGATCAATTACCTAGGAGAAGACACACATTTTAAATGAAAAGAATCCCTTTCAGGCTGACATACCTGGTGAACAAAAGAAGTAGTGGGGGAGGTGATTAACTAAAACATCATCAATTATCTGCAAGGCTCAAATAGGGTAGGATAATAGGATATGTATATTATAGCCTCCAAGGGCTTTATTAGAGAAGGGTATGAAATTACTCCAGGGTCCCGCAAGACAAACTGAAGTACAACAAACATCTCCTTGCAGAGGGAGCACAAAGAAAGAATTTGCAATCCACAGTGTTTTAAAGCCCAAACAGTGAAATGGCCAGTGACCTGTGAATAAGAGAATCACTTTACATATATACAACTTCCTGGGCTCAAGTGCTTTAAACTGGAAAAAAAATTGCAAGAAAGCATTCTGGCTTTGAATTAGAGGAAAGAGACAGAATATTATATATACTAGCTGAGTTCTACCATATAATAAATCAATCAGAATAGAGCTGTAAGGGATCTTGCAGGTCTTCTAGTCCAACCCCCTGCTCAAGCAGAAGACTCTAAACCAGGGGTGTCAAACTGCCGGCCCGTGGGACAGTTTCATTATACTGAAGCCGCGCCCATCCCATTGCCGGCAATGCAAAAAGAGTTGTGATACGTCGTGACACGTCACGTGACATGACGAGTTTGACACCCGGGCTCTAAACCATTTCAGATAGGTGGCTGCCCAGTCTTTTCTTAAAAACCTCCAGTGATGAAGCACCTACAACTTCTAAAGGCAAGCTGTTCCACTGGTTAATTGTCCTCACTGTTAGAAAGTTTCTCCTTAATTTCAGGTCAATTCTCTCCTTGATTAGTTTCCATCCATTGTTTCTTGTCCTGCCTTCAGGTGCTTTGGAAAACAAGTTGACCCCCTCTTCTTTGTGGCAGCCCCTTAGATATTGAAACACTGCTATCATATCACCCCTAGTCCTTCTTTTCTCTAGACTGGCGATACCCAATTCCTGCAACTGTTCTTCATACGTTTTTGTCTCCAGGCCCTTAATCATCTTAGTTGTTCTTTGCACTTTTTCCAAAGTCTCATCTTTTTTGTAATGTGGTGACCAAAGCTGGATGCAGTATTCCAAGTGTGGTCTTACTAAGGATTTATAAAGTGGTACTAGTTTAAATATATGATAAGTTCACATACCACACAGGAGTTGGAAGATGGCAACCTCTACTTCTCCTCCAACCAATAAACAGCAATGGTTCAGCTTCCCTTGTAAATTATCACATTTATAGCCTTTTCTTAAAAAATAGAGAGCTACCAATGAACTTGGCATTCTTTTGTTGGCTGGAATTCTGCAAGATCCACGATTAATATATTATGATGGACTCCAGATGAGGAAAAACTCCCCCAATTTTTAATGCACAGTGCTCCCAATTTGGTTAACTCCTTATGTGCTGAACTTCATTTTCCATGATTCCCTAAACAAGTATGACCTAAAACTGCAGGGTGATAATGGGAAGAGAACCAGGTTGAGAAAGAGTAGTCTACAGATGCTCCCTTTGAGACTAGAATAACATCCTGTTGTGAGTTTTTCCACCCAAGAGTAAAACATAAGTGGGAGGGAGGAATGTCATAAATGTCATATGATTTTGGCAGAAACCTAAGTATTCTCCAGATGAGAATTTCCTTCAATACAGTTTCTAATTTGTCGCTATATGTTAATTTTTCATTTCTAAATTCAAGGTAGTTCATATAATCTAAACAGTTTAAATTTCTGCACTCAGTTTATGAAGCTGCTGCCCCACGCAACCAAGTTTTCTAAAGCAGTAAGTATGCGTACAATATCCAGGACACTATATTTAAAAAGAATATACTTTGAAGTAGATCATAAATAGTTCATAAATGCTTATGCCATAATTGATTTCTCTACAAGCAAATACAGCAAAACTACTGATTTTTTTTGCAATATATCAACACAGAAAAATTCTACATTTTATATTGCTAGAAACTGGGTTTCACATTCTGAAAAGCCAATTAGATTACTTAAGCCCCTTTATTCTTTTTTAAAAATTACCCTAATTTTGATCTCAGGCTACACTATTTAATTCCAGAGGCCAATAAATGGGGAACAAAGACCTCATGAGTTCTATGTGGAGGCTGCATTTATGGATTAATCCCAACAGGGAACAAGTAAAGCTCTTCACAGGCGCCTTCACTGGGACTTAGTACAGTCTACGAGAAAAAGCAATTGTTATTTATGGCTACTGGTGTTTTGACTTTCAAATAAATATTTTAATTATTTTAAATGCCACACCAAAAATTTCTTGTTCGTTGAATGGAGATCTGTGGTGGCCCTGAAATAGATGCAGCAGTAATTATACAAATCTTTTTGTTATGTTAGGATTCATTTGCAGAGCCAAACGGGGAATGAGTGATGCTTGAATTACTAGGGGATCTGGCAGCTGCAGGAAACACAAAGCTCATTATTACCATTAGGAGTTCCCTTATTTCCCTTTGGGGAAGGTAGGATTCTCTTCTTCTTCTTCTTTAAAGTATTCAACTAAAGGATCTGAAAAAAAAGGACTCTGGCTTTCAAGCATCAGAAAATTAATTATTCAAACATGGAGAGACACAGGCTTTCCCTACATCCAGTGAGTCCTTTCTTTGGCTGCTGTCTCCATCAGGAGACTTATCTTGAAGGATAATGCAGGCATGGAGTGAGAGCAGTATGGAACTGCTAACACTGTTCTGAAACCATTATGAAATAACATAGTTTGTTGTCCTGCTTTCTAAATTGGTTTCTTTATTGCTTCATATAGCTTTATTTTTTAAAACATTTGACAGATGGCATACCACACAAGGAATATCTGTTTTAGGGTGGTATAAAAGAATAATCAGCCTATCAGAGGTTTCGTTTCTCATCCAAGAAGCTTCTCATCCAAGAAGCAAAATGTTTCCAAGCAAAACAAAGAAAGTCCAGTTGCCTTTTGAAAAAGCACCGTTTGAGACAACCATGAGCTGGATGACTGAGAATCTCCATAGCCAATGATTCTATCAGTTTAGATCAGTGGTTTGGTGCAAGGCATTGCATTCCCCTGCAATGGGGATCACAAAGCTTGAGGCTAGTTTTCCTCAGCCCAACCTACCTTACAGGGTTGTTATTAGAATAACATTAGAAGAGTTCTTACAAAAAAAAAAAGCCTGTGTAAAGCATGGCTACTTGGTTCATGGGGATTGCCTGGCTTCTAATAGCTAGAACTGTGTTTTTCAAACTTGGCAACTTTTGGATGTATGGACTTCAACCCTGAGAATTCCACAGTCAGCATAGAGAACTTTGACTGGTGAATTCTGAGGACTGAAATTCACACATCTTAGTTGCCAAGTTTGAAAAACACTGAGCTATATAGTCTACTTTGAGCTATGATATAAAGAAACAAGTTATCAAGGAGAACCACTGTGCTTTAATCAGCAGAAGTGCCAGCAAAAGTGCCCATGTCAGAACAAAGAACGGAGCAGAACCAGCACAAAGATGAAGTATGACTTAATTTAATAAAATTAATTTCATAAAATTAAATTAGATAAAAATCACAGTGTTTTATCCAAAGCCAGGAACTTTTCCCTGCTCAGACATCTGTACTATAACCAGGTTTTTCCATTCCAGTCCTGGTAACTCAGGTCTATATTGATTGTATTATCCAGGCTTGCGTAAAGTAAATAAGCAATCTTTGTGACTGATATGCATCTATCCCAGTGATGACGAACCTTTTAGAGACCGAGTGCCCAAACTGCAACACAAAACCCACTTATGCATCATCGGGTGCCAGGTGGGTGTGGCCCACTGGGTGGGCGTGGCTGCGGTGGTAACAGCAGACTGGGTGGGACTAAAAAGTTCAATCAATCAATCAATTCCAACTTTGCAAGATCTTTTTTTTTCCCATGAGAAGTTGAAATTGACTGAATGATTCAACCTTTTTTTTTTTGTACACGGCGGCAGAGGCCTAAAGCGAAAAGGTTTTATAAAACCCAGCTGAAGGCCTGGGACTAGGGTGACGGTGCGCGTGCCTACAGAGAGGGCTCTGAGTGCCGCCTCTGGCACCCGTGCCATATTTTCGCCACCACTGATCTATCCTAATTTAAAATGGTTAAAGTTTCACAAATTTATCAGCTTTTTTTTTTAAAAAATAAATTTTTTATTAATTTTTCATTAAGAAACAAGAACATAAATAGCAATATCAACCATAAAGAAATCAACATCAAACAGTACATTCACGGACGTGTCCGGTGTCCCCCTCCTGCACCCCCCTCTCACCTACCTACACCTTCCTCCTCCTTATCTTACCACCACTCCTCCTTCCTCCCTCTTTCCTACTTCCCTTTCNTCCCCAAAGTTCATTCTGTCCACCAACCGTAGCAAAAATTGCCAATCCAATTTGTCAAAGGCCTTTTCAGCATCCAAAAAGATAAGAGCCGCCGGGACTTGATTATTTTTATCCAAATATTCCAACACATTCACAATTTGTCTAACATTATTCTTCATATATCGTCCATTTATAAATCCAGACTGGTCCATATGAATAAACAAATTTATCAGTTTTAATACTACACTTAGCCCCGAGTCTTTCAGCAAAAATGCTGAAATGTTGCATATTTTTTTTGATATTTTGAATCAACCATGCATGAGTGCCAGAATATTATGAAATAAACATATTGTTATTACTTTTTATTGTTTTATTCGGAGCTGGAAATGCTACATGGATACCATCCAGAGACTGTCAATACAATAGAATTATCCATGCATAGAAATTATGTCAGTATTGCATCAGATAACAATTTTACAGACAATCACATGAATAGCAAAGCCAGGGTTATTTCAGTTATACAGTAGTGGAATAGGTTGGAACAATATCATAAACGCTTGTAAACATTATAACTACAGGAGATGGAGTCTGTCATCAGGGACTGGCAGATAGTGTTTTAACAAACATAGAGCCTACTTTTTATTTGTTGTAGCAATACTGGAATGGAGGTTGCAATCA